AGAAAGAAAGAAAGAAAGAAAGAAAGAAAGAAAGAGAAAGAGAGAAAGAAAGGCAGGCAGGTGGGCTGAGGAAATAAAAGGAGGAAAGAAAAAGAGACAGAGAGGGAAAGAGAGGAAGAAAGAGAGACGGACACAGACAGACATCAGCGAAGGTAAAAGCCAGTTCACCATATAATAAATCCATGTATTCAGAAGAGGCGGAGGTATAGTAAAAGGAAGTTCCAGAAGTTAAGCATAAAGTGATGGGATAGGTTCAAGTAAGTATACACAGGGACTTGAATGCTGGCTAAAGGAATTTAAATTTATCCTGAAGACATCAGAGCATTCTGGAAGAACACTTAACAGTCAGGGAAATTATTCATAAAAGCATAAAGCAAAATAAAAGAGATTTAAAAAATATGTTTGAGGAGTTACTTCAGGAATAGCCAAATGATTTGGGATACCAGAGAGAAATTGACCGAAGGGAAACCCAGACACTTGGGAGGCCAAGCAACTTCATTTGAGGCTGGGGATCTGGAGATATCTGCTGCTCAGAGAAAGACTCTCATGAATAGAGACCAGGAATGAGATGGGATTATTCTCAGAGATGGGCTCCTGTCTTCATACCAGGATGGGACTTTGATAACGGTGGGAGACACATCACATGAGACACTATCACTGTAATTTGGTACATTTAAGAGGACTAGTTCTATTCTCAACCTACAACTGCAAGTTGCCTATTTGCTCATCTTTCACTTACAGTCTTGTGTCACCTGTTAATTTGTCTGTATTCCCTCTAGAGTGAAAGCTTTGAAACATGATATGGAGTTCTTATTTTTTCTTGTATCCAGTATTCGGTGGGGACTTAATAAATATCCAATCACAGAATTATACTTACAGACACAATCTGAACCAGGAAGAGAGATGGAGTGGGATTAAAGAAGAACATAATATTTCTGTGGTCCTAATTATATATATATTTCAATTGCATTTTAGGTTTTGGGATACATGTGAAGAACACGCAAGATTGTTGCATAGGTGCATACACGGCAATGTGGTTTGCTGCCTTCCTCCCCATCACCTATATCTGGCATCTCTCCCCATGTTATCCCTCCCCAACTCCCAACCCGCTGCTGTCGCTCCCCTATTTCCCCCCAACAGACCCCAGTGTGTGATGCTCCCTTCCCTGTGTCCATGTGTTTTCATTGTTCAACACCCGCCTATGAGTGAGAACATGCGGTGTTTGATTTTCTGTTCTTGTGTCAGTTTGCTGAGAATGATGGTTTCCAGGTTCATCAATGTCCCTACAAAGGACACTTGGCTGGACTTGTAAGTCTATCTGGAAGACAGTGCAGCTCACGGGCCTCAAACAGACTCACTTTATGAGCTGGGCAAATCTAGATGCTAAACATACTCCATCCTGTATGTGATGAAATTCACTGTACTGAAAACAAGCAGGCTTAGACATTTCTGTGGACAATTTATTATGGGAGGTGATCTGGGAGAGACGTAGGGGAGGCAGGAAGTACAGTTTGCCTAGAGCCGAAGCCCTAGAAAGAACCCTCAGCCCTAGATAGAGACCGTAAGGATTGAGTACTTACTAGTTAACCTCAAAGAAATGCACTTGCGATGTGTGAGGTGTCCGAAGCATGTTTTTATGTGGTGCAGGTCTTGGGTGGGAAAGAGGAGCAAGTGGTGCATTGAGACAGAGTTGCTCTGCCTTCCCACCAATGCTTAGTGCAAGGGAAGCACTTTTGAGAGGCAATCAGAGTTATCTCTGGTGTCTGAGGGAAGGAAAGAGGAGAAAGAGAAGGAGAGAGAAAAAAGGAGGAGGAGAAAGAGAAGGAGAGATAAGAGGGAATAGGGAGTGAAGGAAGATGGGGGTCTAATCCGTGAGGCCCCCTAAATCAGGCACTGTTTCTTCAGGGCTCTGCTCTAACAGGGTGAGTGAGGCTTCATACCATTCAACCACCTGCTGTTTCACTCACAAAGATCTTTTCTTCCTCCATTCAAACTGCATCTCAAAGCTTTCCCAGATGAAGCAGTTAAGACTTGACGATCCTGTCCTGCTGGGTTTTGGGGTTTAACAGCTGCTCCTTTTCTGGCTTAGTCCTATGCCTTGTGCTACACCCTGGTCTCCATCCCCTCTCCCACACTCCAGCCCCACTCACATTTGTCATATATATGATTTGAAGGCCTCTGAGGACTGCCCCTACAGTCAGAATGTTTGTTGTAATTGCTCATGTTTTCATTTACCCAACTGTTTCCTGAATACCTACTATGTGTCAGGCATCAGGTAGGCAGAGGCAGGTGAGGCACAGACTTGAGCAGCAGGGAGTTTCATCGGTGCCTTTTAACTTAGCTGTACACACCAGGAGCAATTCTGAGATGGAAACATCCGTAAGTGAAGGACTGTATTTAGATGAGAATGTTCCCAATTTAAGCACTGCCAAAACACGATGATCTCAATTTTCATGAAAGGTGAAGAAGAACTTTTCACTCTGTGGCAAGCTTTTAAAACCACAATGTCCCTTGATCATTCCAAGAACAGCTCCCTTTTCTGATTTAAGAGGCAGCAGGTGTGTGAAGGTTTTACTTTCCGCCCTCTGCTCAGCCTGTTGTGTAAGGTGAGGTCCACCCACAGAGCTCCCTGTACTTGGAAAGGGCGTTCACAAGTGCCTTAGGGGAGAATGATGGAAACAAAAAGTCAAGGTCTGATCCGAAAAACAAAGTGAGTTGGGCTTTATTTTCTTCCTATTTTTTGTTCTCCTGAAACACGAGGTCTTTTCTAATGGTGCATAGACTGTTTCATTCAACAGATACTAATGAGCATTGTCTTTGTGTCAGGGACAACACAACATCAGGCTCTAGGAATGCAGAAGTGATGAAGGCAAGGTCCCTGTCATCAGATAACAGTTTAATAGATGAGATAGGATATGTATCTTGGTCACGTGACCCAAAGCAATGCTGAAGACTGAGAGATGTATCTATAAAGGTGAGAGGATGCAGGACTCAGATGTGGGAGGGGCACTGGGCCAATCTCCATGGAGGTGATGGCATGGAATGAGATGCTGGCAGTCATGGATGATGGGTGTGGGTAGACAATGAGTTTCTTCCTCAGACCCTGGGGGATGTTGAATCTGATTTTTCCCTCCAGTTCTACATAGAATTCAACAGCAGCTTCAACTCACCCAGCCCCAAAGGATGTCATCCAGACTTGGCCGGTGTATCCTCCTGTAGGTAGGCCAATCTCAAGGCCCCAGCCTTCTGCTCCCTCATCCACCTGCAGGTGCCTTTGAATCACATCCCATCTACATGTAGCTGAGGAATCTAGCACTGGGAATTGTGAAATTTCCAGATCAATCATCCACTCCACGGCTGTCCTCCAGTAGCATATGGCCTGGAGGCTTCAACTGGAGGATATAAAAAAGAGCCTCTTACTTCCTGGCAACACAAGGCCTCCAGACTCCTCCGGGGATAACTTGTCCACACATCTTCCTCTAGGGTAAGGCTACTTCTGGATGAAGAGACACTTGCATGTAACTCAAGTGCTGCTAAGGCAGCCCTGATCTCTCCTCTTACCTCTTCCAAGGGAGCTGAAAAATTAGGTAGGAGATGCTTAGGTAGAAAGAAGGGAAGAGAATTAGGTCTCTGAAAAATAAAGACCCCAAATCATCTATCACGGGAGAAAGCCACAGAAATGAGAAGGCTAGAAAAGCAGAGAAGAGACGGTCAGACTTAGGAGTCTGGGGACAGAATCATACCAGGGAAAGAAAGAGCAAAGACTTGGCTCTCTTTGGCCAGGTGGACATTGGCCTGGGGAAAGTAAACTGTCAGCTCAACTAGGTACAATTTGTCTTTTTTTTTTTTTTTAGAGGAAACATATATCAGTAACATGGTTGTTAGTGAGTCCCCTGGGAAGATTTACTCCCCAAATATTTAGTCCTTTCAAGTTGTGTTTCTCCTCCTGAGATGGATTTCAGTGGATTGCAAATGCTGTTCTCTATTTTCGACAGCTCCAGCTCGTGCAGGAGGGAAGGAGAAGCCCAGGCCGCCCGGGTCCCTGACAGAACGATTTTTCTTCCAGATTTGACTTGTAGCCCAGCAATGTCACAGCAGAAGCAGCAATCCTGGAAGCCTCCAAATGATCCCCAGTGCTCCCCTCCCCAATGCTCAAACCCCTGCCTGGCTCCCTGCCTGACTCCTGGTGGTGCTCCCCAATCAGCAGGCTGTCATTCCAGTTTTCAAAGGCCTGAGGTTCAGAAGCCTAGGAGGGCTCGTCGGAAGCTGCGCTGCCTCAGTGGGGGCACGACCTACCACTGCAAAGAGGAAGAATGCATCGGTGACTGAGTCCAGAAGAGCTGAGGCACAGGGGCAGTGGCTTTACCCCAGCTTTGGGTGCTAATTCCCCCTTGGAAAGCCAGGCCCTCAACCTCTCATTTGGGCTGAGAAACACTTCCTGATCCCCAGTTCTGCAGAGGCTAGAACTAGGCTGAGCCACGCTGCTACTGCTCTCTTCCACTCGCCCCTTCAGCTCAGCAACAATAAAGCTGCTTTACTTGGAGCCCTGACTTCTGTGAGTTGTTAAGACCCCTGCTCAGTTGTGCTGAGACCCCCACCTCAACCTAGGTGGATGTTGCTTCTCCTCCTTCCTCCTAAGACAGCTGATGGTATTTTTAAAAAGCAGATGCTTTGGGATTTATGTCCCAGTTTCAAACAGCCTCACAGCCGTCGACCTATGTCTTTGCATAATTCTAGCACCAAAGACGACAATTCAATAAACATGTGTTGAGCACCTACTGTGTACTGGCCTCTGTGTTTACATATGTAAGTGGGAAATCTGTCCCTGCTCCAGAAATCTTATAATCCAGTAGGAGATGCAATGGACACTCCAGATAGAAACATGTGGATTAATAAATATCATTTTAAGCTGATTAACTTATTTTTATCTTTCAATTTGTGTTCAGAAAAACTGAAAACAGGAATTTAAAAAGTACATAAGGTCAAAGACAGCAGAGAGAGGAGACCCATTTGATGGTGTAGATCAAAGGTGGTTTCCCAGGCCTTGGAAGGAAAGAGAGTATCCCACTTGGGAGCAGGGAGAAGAGACTCCCTGGGGCAGGAAGCATTTAAATAAGACCTCTAAAGATAGCAGACCTTGGTGCTTGGAGGTGGAGTGAGGAGGAAAGATCATCCAGGTGGAAGATCTAGCATAAACAAATGCATAACAAGGGTGGTACTTGCCAATGGTGTGAATTTCAATTTGGCTGGAGTGCCAGGTGTAAGATGAGAGATGTCACACAGTTCACAACCCCAAGTCTCCATGATAATTCAAACCAGCTTTAGGTCTTAAACATCATCTACCAAAAGATCGTACCTCTGGGAAAAGTCTGGGCCCAAGCCCAGGGTCTGGTAGTCTGAGATGAGCATGACATAAAATAGGCCTGAAAGGGGGCTTGAAGCTCAACTATGATGCATCTAAATAGAAGCTTATATAAATATTTTTGCTGATCTATGTTTTTGGTGGGACATTGAAAGCATTTATTTTTTAACAAAGGACCCAACCCAATAGATTATATTGACCAGGCTCAGAATAGAATTTCAATCTGTAATATCCAGTATGTAGAATTCTCGTTTCCAGAGCTTAGTAATTGTCCTCATTGCTGGGACATGATGTTACCTTTGTGAATAAACACATATATATGCAGATATGCATCATAATTATATATAATTATAATTTCATATGCATGCTTTTTCTCATTAAACAAATGACACACACTTGTATAAAGATTTGTTAATGGAGATAAGATTACAGAAGATGACTAAGACCAATCTAAAATCCTATCACCTAAAAATAATCATGGCTAATCATTTCATAGATGTATTTGTAAACCTTTAAACATCACAAAATGGGTTCATTTCAGAGTATTTTATAACCTACTTTTTTTTTTTTTTTACTATTAAGTAAATGCTAAAATTGAACAAGAGTGATTGTCAATATTCTTCCATGCTAGTAAATATTGATCAACACTACTTACACATGATATCCACTAACACACTGTGGTCTGCATAACCAGTTCTCTAATAGCAGGCTTTTATGTTGTTTTTGAACTTGCTGTCCATTGTAATTTAAAATAATCATTCTCATTTATAATTATTCTTAATTTTCTTAGAATACATTTTTAGAGTTGTAATTCTAGAGTTAGCAAAACTATGAAGACGTTTTCAGGCTCTTCAGCAAGACTGCATTTTGGGAGCGATTAAAATTACTCTACTTAAGAAATTAAATATGGTGGCAGAGATTTCTTTTATTTGAGAGCAAAAGTGAGTGCTACGTTAAAGGACTGCCCCAGTTTATAGTGGAAAAAGTCCACTTTGTGAGAAGAAACGCTTCCAGAGAAACTTGATAGATATCCATCTACTTACCGTCATAAACTCTATAGTTTAAAAAAAGTTTAGATGCCTCCTTCTTTATAGGGTAAAAGAGTAATTTCTATTTTATGAAGCAATATCTTATGAATATTGATATACCATTGTTTGAAATTTTGTATCTAGCTGATAGATTTTTAAATAATCATTTTGAATGTTTAATATATTTGTGTGAGAGATTTTTGTAAAGCATCCCATTTTTCCCTAGGAAAAACACAAAATCTCAATGTTGAGTTGATTATGTAAAGCTCAATGCATAAGAACATCTTTTTTTTCTGCATTGCATTTCTGCTCTTTATTGAAAGCATTTACCAAATGACAGTTTTTTAAAAAGTTTTACAGAAACTATTTTTCTTTGACAAGAATATTACTTGCTATTTTGGCCTATTCAGCTTTCTTTAGTAAGTACTTGGATTCCCTGTGCTAAGTTTTCAACCGATGTATTATTCTATAGATACACTGATTAGTCTGTGTCAAATTGATTTCAAAATTACTATGCTGAAAAATAAACTAATGATTTAATTATTGTTTTTCTTTATAAAGTCTGTATTTGACTAGTCACAATTCCTAAAATATGGCTATACATCAGAAATGTCAATATTAATAGTGCCTTTTTTTTTTTGGAAGGAGTCTGGCTCTGTTGCCCAGGGTGGAGTTCAATGACGCGATCTCAGTTCACTGCAACCTCCACCTCCCAGGTTCAAGCGTTCACCTGCCTCAGCTTCCCAAGTAGCTGGGATTACAGGCGCCTGCCACCACACCTGGCTAATTTTTTGTATTTTTAGTAGAGATGGGGTTTCACCATGTTGGCCAGGCTGGTCTGCAACTCCTGACCTCGAATGATCCACCCACTTCAGCCTCCCAAAGTGCTGGGATCACAGACGTGAGCCACTGTGCCCAGCCAAGAGTACCTTTTTAATATGGCTTTAATATGGCTTCATTTTAATACTATATGTACATTGTACTTTGTGTTATAGTAATAAGTAATGAAAAATGCAGACTTTATATTTTATACAAAACGTTCTATAAATCTACATATATATAAATTTATGTATAAGAGCTATACATAAATATATATCTATTTTTAAGTGTTCTCACCACAAAAAATGGTAAGTATGTGAAATAATGCATGCTAATTAGCTTGGTTTACTCATTGCACAAGGTACATATTATTATTTCAAAACAGTATGTTGTACATGCTAACTACATATAGCACAAGTTTTCTCTGTTAAATAAATACATGTGTTTTTAAAATTTCCTATATATAAAATTTTTTAAGTTTAAGCAACAATGAAACTAGGTAAGTGGTATCATTCCTTTTATTTAGAATATATCTAACTTTATGCTTTTAAAAAATGTTAAAAATCTTACATATTTTTTACATCTTTTAATTCAAAAAACTTTATTTTGACAGAAAAAGTTTATATATTTGATATTCAATATGTTATTTTAAATGCTGTATTGTTTAGACTAAAGAAAGAACATATAAGTTAAAAGAAAAAAAGGCACTAGATGATTAGAAGCACTCCCCAGGGACTCTGAAACACCCTCAGGTATCAGTTCCTGACACCACCCTTTGAGGTGAAGGATGGTGATAAGCGAGATTCACCTTCCCTACTTTTCTCTTAAGATGTTTAATTGCAGGATGAAAGATATGGTCCAGCTGGGTTACCTCCTTTAGGCGCGATGGAGAAAATGATGGAGAGGTCAATGGCATGGGGTTGTGATGAGCCAGAGATGTTAACAGAACAGCTGTCCCCAAGAATAGGAGGGCAGTGGAGCCACAGATCTGCTCTGCTCACCTTAGCTGGGGGAACCCATCTTTCTTTAACATCTGCAAAAAGACATGAAGTTTCACAGGAGTCAGAAATCTCTGTCATTGGAAGCAGTGGAGTCTCCTTTCTTGGGAGATTTCGAAATACATTCTTGGGATCTTGGAAATATAGTCTTATTTAGAAATATATTCTTGGGTCGGAAGCAAATGACAGGCAAGATGATCATTCTTCATCCCTTCCTATTTTAGGATTAACAGGCATCACTTGATGGTGACATGTGTAAATACAGGCTCCTGATAAGACGTTTTAGCTATTGCTTCATTCGCTGAAGTTAACCAAAAAGCCAGGGTGTGGCCCAGGATCCAAAGAGGCCATTGCTGCATGTGTTACAGAGGAGAAGGACTGGCGAAGCTATCAGAGACGATAAATCAGGGAATCACCCAGGCTTTAATAGGGTCTAGAGCAACCACAAGCACAGAGATCTCATAATTACCTCCGTGATCAAGATGAAAACAGCAACACTCATTTTACAAATGAACAGCCTGAGGCCCAGAAGAGGCAAATGGCCCATGGCTGGTCGGAGTCAGGACTAGGCCTGTGCTCCAGGGATGACCTGCTGCTTCTACCCAAGGGAGTTTTCTACGACTAGAGATATTAAGGAAGAGCGGGCCCAGAGGGCTGGTACCAGATGATATTGGTGTGCCTCCCCCAATCCCAACGGAATAGAGCTCAGCATCTGGAGAATACCTGGGACTGTAACAATAATGCTTACAGTTGCAATTGCAGCTTATGGAGTATCTGTTGATTGTCGGGCACTGTGTTGGTTTCTTTGTGCACAGTTAATTCTTTTAACCACCATATTACACATGATGGGCCTACCTCTCCAGTTCACACTCTACAGATAGGGTGGAATGACTGTTTTGAGGCCACCCAACAGAGGGGGTGAGAATATGTTACACTGAATAGTTATTGTCCCTTTCCCTTAAGGGACAATAGTTATTATTGTACCCACTAACTGAGATGGGCACAGGACCATAAGGCAGGTTATTGATCATGGCTCATGACCATTCTCTGTGCTCCAGGAGAAACACAGAAAGCATCGGCCCCTCAGTGGCCCTGGTATGAATCCCATCATCCTTGGGAGGACCACAAATCCTCTCCCAGTGCTGTCTGCCAATCAGACCCGCATATGCTCCCTGCCCACTGAGATTCTGGCCCATAGGAGGACTGCTCAAAGGGTTGACTGCTCAGGCAGAAGGATAATCCTCGTTTTCCTTTCTCTCATCACTTAGGAATTAGCTTGACAAGAATCTCTTGCATGCCGATGCTAGCTTGCTGGCACCTCACCCTTCTATTAAGG